CGAAATGGGGCTTGAAATAGAGGACACTGACCCTGCGTCAGGGTCAGACATATTAGTTTACAGAAGCTGAGCTGCAGCTGTGCTACACAAGGCAACAGAAATGACAAAATCAGCTGCTTATTTTGTTGTACTTTGAGTTTATATTAATTAGTACAGTATCAAGCTTTTCCTGTTTTTCTTTGTCTCATTTTAAATCCAAACTGCTTATTTACTATTACTATGTTAAATCCTCCAACTTGTATTTCACTCATTCACTGAAGCTTTTGAAAGAAAGGACACCATCTCAGCAGGGATGTTGTCATGGTTGCATTCAAGGTAAATGTTTTGTCACTTCCATGTACAAGTTCCTCCCACAGCTAATCTGAATGGAACAGCCATGGCTGTGGTCATGTGTTCTAACAAGGTGTTGGGTTTCCTATACTTCTAAATTGTACAGTGAAACAGACCATTTGCAAGTGTGGCCAAAAGTCTATAGAACAAATGACTCGTTAAATTAGCACCTAATACTCCATTCATTAGCAACCTGTTAGCATAAGTGGAATGCCTTTGATGGTGTTAGCTTTTTTTGAGAGCGAGTGGCTCCTTTGTAGCTGCCCGTCTGAAAATGAATATCACACATTCCATGACCCATAAGTTATGCATAGCTACAAAGCTATATTAGAAACCTATGAGGGACCAAGCATAATGAGTTGCTTAACGCTTTAAGTATTGCATGTTTTGGATGTTTAGTAAGTGATATCAGTAACCCTCTTAGGCTAAGCTAGACTTTGGGCCAGCCCTTGGGGCTCATATGAAGTGCTTAGCGCTCGTTTGGAGCTTTGTCGCCCCTCGCCCTGTTGCCAGCATGGCCCAAGCCCCTCTGGCTGAGAGACGAAACTAGATCTCACTGATTACCACCAACTAGGGAGCAGTGACTTCACATACAAAATCACACTGCGATTGTGGCACACATCCATTTTCACATTCCCTCCCCACCCCGCTTTCAATCAATGCAGCCCAACCAGTGGTCCTTTTTCCCGCCGTCCACTCCCATCTAACAGCCACCATCGCCCCTCCACCACCCTGGACTTTTTTTTCTCTCTCTCTGTTCTTTCTCTACACTTACTAAGGTTGCCAGGCAGCAGAGAAAAGATCTCACACAAACACCCACCCTGCTATGCCTCTGAGGGTTTTCCGGATGTCCTTGTTTACATCATGGGGTGTGCAGGTTGCAGAAAAGCCGACTCAGAGCCTCTCTGACTAACTCTCTCTAAGCCTTGTGCAAAAGCCCATCTATCTGATATCCTTGCTTGTATGTAGTCCTAGTAAAATGTTCATTGCTTTGGATGTGAATATCTAAACAGGATCACAATATCTTTTAATCTCACCTGGTACAAAAATTTACCTAAGGTGTTTAAAAGTAATTTTTCTAGATTGATAATCCCAACATTGCCTGCCACTGATATTTGTGATGGTTGTCGACTGTTGCAAGGCTCCCTGTTCCCTCAGTGTGCCAAACGGATCGATTGGTTTAGTCTGCTCCTCCCTCCAACTTTGATGTTACCATTGATTGTTCTCATCTGCCCCTGAACTCAAAGGTTAGAGAAGTGGAGCTTCACTTCTGGATTGCTTTGACCTTCGCTCTGCACATGCTCAGTGGGTTCTCAAAGCTCAGAGCCAAAGAGAGGCAGGCCCGTGGGTGCGTGGCAGACAGACAACACTGCTTTTATTTATTTATTTTTTTAACTCACCCAGCGAGGGTGATGTATATGTGATTGATTTTTTTCCCTCTCTGTGCCATGTTTCTGCTGCAGTGCGCTAAGCAGGACTGAGTCCAGGCTTGATCAATGCATTGTTTTTCTTTTTCAATCACACTTGAGTGAGCTGAAGACACGAAAGGTTACCCAGGTGAGGGTTGGCAGGGATGGAAGAGAAGCAGGGCTTACAGAGGACTCCATAGATGTTTGTGTGCATATGGGATAGTGTAGGTGGCAAAGCGGAGTTGAGAAACTTTGTTGTCTTACTAACATATTTTCCACATTCTTTCTTTGCTTTTTTATCATTCTAGTTACCTTGATGTGACTCCTGTTCTTGAAGTAAATAACATATTGATACCAACACTCCTGTTTGGGAACAACATTCTCTTTCTCCTTTTGTGTAACTTCAAAATACTTCAGTCATAAACAGTCAAAACCTCTGTTTGCCTACTAAGTTTGTGTATATTTTAGAAATCAAGCCAACAATCTCCTGCACATTCAATCTTTCAAAGTTAAACCGCTGTCTCAAAACCAAATAATTCATTGTCTAGAAATCAATGCAAGTAGCATAAAGAGTCTAAGATTAAATGGATCTCCCATTATCAATGGTGAAAAAAAAATCTTTCTGTCAGTTTCGTTCTTTTTTAAGAACCACCATTACAGGTTGGAAAAGTCTGAGACGTATTGATGTAGTGATTTTCGTTTTCCAGGAGTGTACAAAGGAAGAGAGGAAAATTTGAGCAAGAAACAAATGTTTGAGTTCTAAATTTTTTTCCTTTCTTTATTTTCAAAGGTCAAAATTCTAATTATGCTTAATAAGAGCCAATTGTTTTCCCATTGATTCAAATTTAAATTTAGTTCTTTGTTTTAATTCCAATCAGGGTTTTTGTTTGCTGGCTTTTTAGAGATACCATACTGAGGAACTGAAAAGTGCCGTTTTACAATTTTTTCAGTATTTTTATGAAATATAGTTACTACTTTTGAAACTGCACATTAAAGAAACTGCATTGAATCTATGATTCATCTTTTCAAGTCTAAGAGATATAATTTTAAAATAGACCTAATCTTAATTTGTCCAGACACCATGGAAGTTAAATGGCCTCAAACTATGAAAAATGGAAGCAGATTTTAGAAATTTGTTGTTCCATTACCACTGCTAAAAGCAGTATTAATAACTACTATGTAGACAGATGTAAGATAAACATTTTGTTCTCAAATATTTATAAAATGCAAAATCTCCTGAAAGGAAGTTGAAGACTTACGCTATGTTTTCACTGCAGGCCTTAATGCTCAATTACGATGTTTTTGTGAAATCGAAATTTTTTGCGTTCCGTTCATATTTCCAAATATATGTGACTTGTATGCGATCTCTATGCGCATGCAGGACACTTAGGTTGTGTGAACTGCATTCACACAACCTAAGTGTCCTGCATGCCCAGTAGAGGACGCAATGACATCACAAGCAAGCGTGTTCCGTGTTTACGGAAGTAAACAAGGATGGTAGGGCTGGAGCGCATCTAGTGATCTTTCCTAACCTTGTAACCTTTCAAGATGGTTAAACATAAATACTGCTCTCCGCGTCGTCCGCCCTGGTTGTTGTTTTTCTTGCTTCTTCTGCACAGCAAGACGTAGAATAATGACCTTTAATCAGTCTTAATGATGTTCAGGTCAGATGAAAGCGACCTGGCTGTTCAGACACAGGTTGAATTTGAAAAGTATGTATCGGATTTAGGGCAACAAAGCCAAGTGGCTTGGGTCGTATTTAATAAAATCGGATCTGTGTTATTCAGACTGTCATGAAAAGATCAGATACAGTTTGCATATGGGCAAAACAATCGGAATTGGGTAACTTCAGGCTGCAGTGTGAACGTAGCCTAAGAGTCATTTTACTTGAGAGAATTACCCAAGACTGAAGTCCAAGGATCTGTTAAGTCTGGGCATACATCAGTGCAGACTGCTTATGGTGTTCTAAGTAAAAGCACTGTTACAAACCACAACATGTGTTTTTACCAAAAATTATTCAACTAGTTCTTTAAGGAGGCTGCTAGTAATATCTACTCCATCCTCAAAAGATCCATCCTCGAAAGACTAGATGCTATAGTATGAGTAGGAAAAATACCAACTTAGCATCTCTTAATTCTAATTTGCATCAGCAGAAACCCAAGCCTTCATATCAGAAAAAAAGCATCAGTAATATTACAACAACCTCAGGTGTTTCTAAAAACAAGACTGAATGGTGGGTGGAAGTAGCCTACCCTAAAGGGATGAAGAACATTACGTAGTCCTGAATTATCTCTAAGTAAAACTTCCCTAAACCCTGTACCCAAACACCTAGTCATTTAGGAAAAAAGATAAGTATCTGTGGGAGTAGAAGAGCTCTCCTGTAAAGCTGGATGTCTAGAGGGGATGCGGATGTGGCGGGCAGGCAGCTTTATCTGGTTTGTATTGGGAGGGAGCATAGGATTTGACCAGAGGGTTTCAAATGTCATGGCAGATTCTTTCAGGGCAAATTACAGGGTTTAACCTCTCTTGTCCCAAAGAATAGCTGCGTTCTGATTTAACTTCCTTGACAGACACTCGAGCAACGTGCTAAACAACACAATTGGTTGGGGGGGGGCACTTGACTTGGAAGACACATTACCTCCTCTTAGGCAGTCGAGGGCCCTTCAGGACCTTGTTCACTACGGTCCGTCGGTGGCCTTTCTTGTTGATTCTGCTGAGAGCTTGGAAGTGTGGCCCCTTCACTGTATGCTGGTGTAAAGGGAGGCTTACATGAGTGTCCCTCATTAACCCCTTAGTGTTATTGTGCATTGAGTAAAGAGAGGCTTTGCTGTGAAATGGCTAAACAAGCTGATTGTAACAACTCTGGCATTGTTAATTTTTGAAGAAATTACTATCTGGGTATTTATTGTCCTTTAGTCCCAGATCACACACATTTCCCTCCTTTCTTTCATTTTCAGGGTTTTTATTTTATTATTGTTATATTTCCATAAAATCTGAAACACTTGTGTGCCTCTGGTTTTATTCCTGCGAGGTCTAACAGACCTAAAGCTCTGTGAAGCATTTAGTAACAAGGTAGCAGATTTCCTCGATGCTGCCAGTGTTAAAGGGAGTGCTGAAGCATCTAATGCAATTTCAACCTAACATGGCTCTCTATGAATAAGCACCACTGGCGTCTACCACCTACTGTATGCTGATCTACTGTATGGCTACTGGTTTTGCTCTGACACTCCATTTCTCTCTCTCTCTCTGCCTCTCTCCTAGCGATTGCATTTGCCTCCGGACTTGTCCGAGACAGTGAGTCGTGTCAGCAGGGGGGAGCTTGCAGGAGTAGCTTCTGCCTGTGGCTCCAGTGCTTCTGGCAACAAAAACCTGGACTTTTGACAGGAAACCAAAGACTGGAATGGTGTGGCCGTTGCCCTCTTTGCAGCGGCGTCAGGGGTGTTGCATCGTTCAGGTGATGTCAACCACAATCAAGCAGCAAGCTGTTACCACCTGCCAACCAACCCAGCGAGAGGTGAAGATCTAAACATCAACAGCTTCTCTGGTCATCATAAACCATCATTTGCAGTCATTTTCATGTAAATCTATTTAGTTGTCATAATTTTGTTTAAATATTAAGGCGCAGTCCTTCAAACTGTCAGAAGGTTTCATTAAAAGTTAACTTTATTTTTTTTTTCTCTTTTGTTACCCATACAAATAAAACATTTGTGAACCTAGCTGGATTCAGGGTTGGAGAATTATTTAACATTTGCTACGTTTAGTTTATTTTTTTTGTCTCTGCCTACATTGTAATCATGAAATATTTTACAGCCTTTACTGATTCTCCGTCTTGGGAGCCGCTGAATAATTTATCTTTGTTCTTGGCTTTTCTTTATAAACAAGAGGCATCTCCTGCACATCTCCACCATTTACATCATTCTGCAAATACAATTTACGTTCCGGGATGTTACAGTGCGCTCTTGTGAAATAAATTAAAGAAGAGAAAAACTATGCAAAACTCAACTCATTCACACTTGGATTTTAGTTAGTCTCTGAGGGAATGTCTTGAATGCAGCTCACTGGTTGCCCTAAGTGGTAGCAGGTCCATATAGAAAGGCCCACAGACGGATGTGGTGAGTGGCAAAAAACTGGATTTGTGGGTTGATTTTACACCTGGTTTAGCTGCTTTGCAATCACAAGCCCAAGAGAACAAATTAGGTCAGATGGTGAAGAAATCAACATGTTGAATGAAATGTATTAGGGATGTTTGTAACAGAACGATGAAATGTCACAAGATTTTGAAAGTAAAATAGATCGATACCGCGTTTTTAAAAATCTATTTGATATTAGCATATGGAAGTATATTTGAGTATATTGTTTTTCAAAGTGTCAGAAATGGATAACAAAACTGCTATTTTCAATGACTACTTATTTTTGTCCAGCTTTAACATCGGTATCGATATGGGTTATCGGCTACATGAGTTTTAAAATATCGGCATATCGGATATCGGCCAAAATCCCAATATCGTGCATCCCTAAAATGTATAATTTGTGTTTTTTTGTGTTAGAAGCTGATGCCACTTTGAATGTTTTTACCTGTTGTAACCTGACAGGAATGGTAACCGCTTGCAGCATGTATTCAGAGCAGGTCGTGGAGACATGTCTTTTTTATAGGTGAATAAAACCTTGTGTTGTGAAGTGAAACACAGCTCCCCTAACTTACTGATATTTCATTATTGACATATTTAGGACACGTGTTTAAAGTGGATTAAAGGTGAATAGATTCATTTTGCCATGTGTTTATAATGGATAGATATACTTGGATAGATGAGTATCTGTTTTACAGAAAAATGATCAATGTATACAATGTATATATTCTTATTTTCAAAACATCAACAGAGATTTTATTGTCCATCTACCAAAATAATCAATCAATTTATTTTATCTTAGTTGGTGATGATTTGACCTTTATCCTAAAGATTGTTTGACACCACTGTAAGAAGACAGCTCACCTTCTGGGGTTATAGTTCATGTTTTAGATAATTTAGTATTTTTAGATTTGTTTTCTTTAAATGTATATTTAAACATATATTTTCACATACAAACACTCACACAGAAGACAAGCAACAATGAAAGTCTTACTGAAATAAGAACTGTAGCCATTGGCGCTCAGGCATCAGTGGAAGACGTTAGCATAAAAAAATATGATGTAATGACGATGAGCAGATGAATTTACGTCTCTCACTGGTGGTGGAATGGAGGCCGAAGGAGGAAGGGGAGCCTGATGGAAACGAGGATGATGGTGGAAGAGGGTTGCAGCTTTCTGGAGCTCAGAGACAATGACAGAACAGTCCCTTTTTTTAAAGCAGAGTCCTAGATGATGATTAGCCATGGCGGAGACCTGCACTGGGCTGATTGGCTTGCAACAGTGCAGCATCAGAGGGCCACTGGATGAGAGGTGAGCTGAGTTAATTCTTCCAATCCTGAATATTTGCTTAAGCTGCATTTCCTGTAGGGTTTGGAGAATTACCATTAAACTGTATGATTAGGATCCCAACTTTCAGGGCCGGCTCCACACACTCCTTACACTAATAGGCTCTAATTGTGGCCCCCTCCTCCTGACAGAACTGGGGTAACAGTCAAGTTTTTTAGGTCATCATGCTACACTTTTCAGCTCTGTCCATGCATGTTCTGTGTGATCAAAGCTTTTTTTTATGGCTACTTCAAAATGTGAAGTTACTCTTCTTAATGTTTTGGTTGAAAGTTAATCTTCAATGTCTTTTTATATATATCATTTATATATATATATATTAACTAACTAATAAGCACTATTATTTTTGCTTATCGATTAATCTGTCCCTTATTTTGTTGATTATCGATTAATAATCAGATAGGAAAAGGTTGTTTAAAGAAGATTTTTTTACAGATTTAAACCAGGTGAAACTTAAACGTTTCAACTTTAGGAGTTCTGGATAGAGCATATTGACAGACGAAAACGTTTTTTTTATCTTAAATGCAAAATATTTTTAAATTTTTACTATTTTCATAGTTACTGCTCTGAGAGAGTTGCTCTGTCAGCTAAAGGCATGTTTTAGAGTCTCTATACTCCAGTTAACGATTAATTGATTACTAAATTAATTGACGATAATCAATTGATCAAGATTATTCTGATTAATTGTTTCAGCCCTAAGTTTGACAGTACATCTGTTCCTCATGATGCAGTTTTATTTTGTTAAGTGCATCGATCCTTTATATAATCAAATATTCCCACAACAGGATACCGCCACCTCTGTGCTTCATAGTTGGGATTGTGTTCTCAGGACAAAATCTGGATTTAATTTTTTTAGATTATGTCTCTTACATTGGACATGCACCTTTGGTGACAATGTCAGACCCCTCCATGATTTTAAAGTGGGAGAACTTTCAAAATAGCAATCAAATACTTATTTTCCTCACTGTATATAATAGATATGTTTTAAAAACACCACTTTTTTACAACTTAACATGGTGTAATCTTTTGAGAGTGCCGATGTAATTTCTAACTGAAAAATCTTCTTAGGAAAAACTATTAAAATTTGTTTTTTTAGCTTAGCTGTAACTCTTCTTTAGGTATCGTTAAGGAAAATAGAAAACATACTAAATTTAAATTAAAGACTCATGTACAGCATACGCTTCTTTGATGAGCTATCTATTAAAATAAAACAGTAAAAATGCTAAAACAGGGACTATACAACTGAGAAAGCTGAGATGAGAAGTGCTACTTCATCCTTACAGCAGCTTTTTCACATCCTTTTAATTCTGAACCAAAGCCAAATATGTTTCCCTGTTGTTTTAATTCACTTTCATTATTGAAAACTAAACTAAATGTTTATAAAATAATTGTTTTGGTGCAGCAGATCTATATCTTACAGTGTATATGACAGAAAACATAACTGTATTAGCTGTCTCAGTCTCACTGTTCTTGCGGAAATGAGGCTAAGTGCAGTCTCATAGACAGGATAAAGCTTTCAGTGCCAGCTTCTGATCTCCGCTGTGTGAACTTTCATTAACATCTCTCAGAATCAACCCATCTCAATAAAAAATAGATCTGGAAACTCAAAATGTGTAAGAACATTTTTCAAAGACACTAACTGACTTTAAAGTTAGTGAAAATTACATTTAAACCACTTCATTCTTGCATTATTTAGATTTTCACTAATTGCCCCCTTGCATTTAAATCCATCTTACATATCTGTCTCTTTCTCTCCTTCTCTCCACACATGAAAACCCTGCTCCTCTATTAGTTAGATAAAGTGGATTAAATAAATAGAGAAATGGCATATCCTCTAAAAAATCTGATTAATCTCCAATCCTCTAACTTGGAAGTGGACCATTAAATAAAGAGGAAGACGTGTAAATTCTATTAATCACTTCAGCAGGCTGTTTGGTGCTGTGAATGTTACCTGACCCTGCTCCTTTCCAGATTATCTTTGCGTTATTGAGATGCTTGCACACACTCTTTTAAATCCACACATCCATACACGGCCCCCCTCCCCCCCACTGATGGAGCAAGTGAAGCAAAATAACTCACTCTGCCACACAATCGCTTCTCTGCCTCGCTCCAGGCTCCGACTGCTATCTTTTCCCAACTTTTTTCTCTCTCCTCCCTTCTCTGTATTTTTTCCATAGCCATCTTAACTCCACTAAAACAAGAGCCAGCAATGGTGAATTGCTTGACCTTTCTCATTGTGCGCTGGTGTTTTGTTGTGTGGTCTGTGTCGACTCAGCTCAGCCCCATACATCAGGAGAGGTTTGTTATTCTGGACACCTTTGTTTCGGTGAGAATTTGAGATTTCACTGTGTGCAAAAAAGCTGCCTCACTAGGAATGATAGAACATGCAGTAATCACTCATTCTTCAATATGCACCAAGAAAAATGGTAATAAAAAAAAGCTTTCTTTAAGACACAGCGTGTTTTATCTCAGAAGCAATGCTCAGACGTAAACCCCGGTATGTGTCCATGTTCTACGCACACACCAAAAATAAAAATGCAGAACTCAAATAGCATGATGACAGATGATGCTAGAAAAACAAAACAAACCCCATCCCATGGTCTTTTAATTATAAATAAGGACTGCGGGGCTTTTGACTGCAGTCTTCGAAGCCTATGTAGTTGAACAAAACGTGTTCACAAAATTTTGCAACACAAGAGTAAAATCTAAGAAAGAAGGGAGGAGAATGAAAAGATTGTGTTCTAGATGAAATACAAAGGCTTTGGTCTGTTTTACAATCAACAATGATTAGATCTGATATGTACTTGTAAACAACTGCCAAACACTTAAGTTTAAAACTCTGTCAAGCAATGTTTAATCATAATTATAGGAATTAAATATTTCTAGTTGCACATTTTTGACCATAGGACACTATATTACAACTATACCTAAGAGACAAATTGTACCTGACCCTAAAGAAATGTAGTTCATGATGCATGGAACATTTATAGAATATTCTTGGGGATGTTGACTGAAATCGACTGAAATCGACTTTTATTGGAGAAATCTTTCTGGAAGATTTCCAAAAAAAAGGGAAGACAAGTACTTTACATTTGGACATTAACAAACTGGAATATATCGAAGACGCAGTCAACCATTTACAGAATACAGGTGTTGGGGCGGAGGGGTATGTTTTCGTGAAGGTTTTTTTTTTTTCTTTTTTTTTGCGGCACCTGTTTTCCACATGTAATGTTCTTGGTGTAATCTTAAGAATCAATCCAGCCAAAGAAGCAGGAGGTCCGACATGTGTTGCAGGATGCGTCTTCTCTGCACGCTTGGAGCTGCTGATAGGATCCCAATCTAATAAATGCAAGGCCCCATATCAGAGAGGCCACCACAGCCTCAGTGGGTGGATTGACTTAGAGTTTCCCTCCTCTAAATATCCATTTGTAACAAATAAGATCAATAAATAGTTGGGGTGGGTTTTCTCTCACAGTAAGTCTTCCTTCCAGCTTTTTTCATCTATAATGATATGCATCCAGAGGCCATGCAAAAGGCTGGTAGAAAGTCTCGATATAAGCAGATTAGAAGATAGTCATGGCAGATTCTCTCAGCTTCCTCCTTAGCAAAAGAAAAAAGCAAAACCAACATGGTTTTCTAGCAGTCCATCTATCAGTACTTGATCTTGTTTTTCTTTTTTTTCATATTAACATAGAAATGGCCATTTACAAAGACATCAGAGAAAAAAAGGGGGAACATGACTGAAGCTGGAAATAGAAAAAGAACGGATAAGTTTTTGTTCCATAAAAATTTTAACACCGGGCACTTTACAGAGGTCCATTTTTTCTCTCTCTCTTTCCACTGTTGGTCTCTCTTCCAAGTCCGGGTTTGAATGTGCCTGGAGTTACACAACAGCACACTGTCCCAGCAGGGGGAAACAAAGCCCAGGCGTCCCAAGGCTCTCCCAGAGTCCCTCTCCTTCTTTCCTCTTCCTCAACCCTCTCGTGCTTTTTTCCCCCCACTCTCCTGTGCTGTGTATGTGTGAGGAGCACTGCCGGAGGGCGATGGTGGAGTGGGTGCTTACAGGGTGAAGTAGCTCTTCTCTCTACTGTAGTCTTGACCAGTACTGAGACATGTCAGGCTCACTCCCTGGGACTTGGACAGGGACAGACACTCCAGGAGAGATGAGTCCTGCAGAAACAAAAATCAAGAAATTAAAAAAAAGAAATCCATCTGCAAAGAAGTGAAGCAAGAGATATCTGGAGTTCGAAAACAGATGAATGGAGAGTTGACACCAGGAGGGAGTGCTGTACTTTAAAAGCTTGTAAAAATGAGTGGACAAGCATGGGGTGGGAGGGGGGCTGCGGTGAGTCACAATGCTCTGCACACGGCTGCTCTGTGAAACGTTTGCAAGCTCGATAAATTGAGGCCATGGCGATGGCATTTAAACAGAGAGAGTACAACAGCAAATGAATCAAATTAATTAGCAATTTAGCACAGAGGAAATGCGGTTATGCATGATTAACTCTTCATGACTATAACCAGTATGTATGGCACTCTGAAACAGCACCCTAATGGGGTGGAACTAAACTATGTGTTTGAGTCGTGGGGCTGACATGATGGCCCAGTGGCAGTGAAATGAACAGAGCCCCACTGCAGCTCCAAGAGAGAAAATGATATCAGATAGACCCTGAGACGTCTAAACGATGGAAGTCTCTCAGACAGGATGGGAAGGTAAAGCCGCAGCGAAACATCATGAATCAGAGACGGCTATGCAGTACCCCCTAATTACAGGAGAGGTGGCAGATATTTCACAGTGCTACAATTAGCTCCCATAAGGATGTTGGTAAACAATGAATTTTCTGCCTACCTGTTGAGGTGGTACCAGAAGTGGTCATTGATTGGCTGTTCATATGTGCCTGCATATGAGGGGGCGTGTATGTTTCGTAGCTCCGCCCATTCACAGGCGGACTGGTAGGCAGCATGCAGGAGTAAGAGGAGGTCTGGCTGGGCTATAAAACGAGGAAAAAATTATTTATTAGCTTAGCCAACCATATTTTCAGCTTAGAAGTCTCTAATAGCTTTTTTATGCTGCAATTTATTAGATTTCCCTGTCATAAAAGTCTTTCTTTATTGCTTCTGTTCTTTTTAAGACTTTGAGGGAGTCTGTTTTGGACTTACTTTGGGTGGGTTTGCTTTCACAATGGAAATAAACTAAATAATCTCAAAATCAAACTGGGTCTTTACTTACTTGCATAGGTAGATTGTTGGCCATGGTGAAGCTGGGCATGGGAGGCAACGCACTGTAGGTGTTTGTAAGTGCAGAGTCAGGCCTTCCAAGCATTGACCCCGAGGTGAAAGACACTGTAAGGGGATTAAGAGGAAAAATGGGTGAAAAAAAAAAACAGAAATTGTGCTCAAACACATGCTGCTCTATGGTCATGAGAGCTCATCTCATTTGTGTTCTTATTCTGACATGCTGATGGGCCCAGAAAGATACTGTAGAGCTTCTCAGGTGACTGACTTGTGGGCCTGAGCTCCAGCTTTGTCGGTGTGCCCTCCTGCCTTATTCTGCAATTATGCAGAAAGTCAGCTGTGAGATTTTACTCATTCATGCATTAAAAAGAGAAGCATGGCTTTTCTTCAAGTGTACTAGAGCGCACAGCCTCTTTTATTATATCAGTCCACACAGACTGAGCGTCATGTTACCGTTTAGTGATATTTCAAACAGATTTTGCCTGATTTCAGATGGTTAAACGTGTCGCTGACTGTAGATGTTTAATGACTTTTATTTGAGGAGAGTGAGCTAGAATGTCACTAAGCATAAATATCAATATGCAGATTTAGACAGAAATACATTTTTTAATATAGTTGCTTTGAATTGAAGTTATTCTAAAATTTGATTCTGCAAAACAGGATTTTTCTACTTTTTTTCTATGTTGTGATTTAGAGTTGGAGATGCAATATTATGAAAAAAAAAAAACGTCTTTGCTCCTTATGAATTCTTCTCACTCTCTCAGAGCTTTTGAAAATTTTAAAGCATGTACATTTAAGATGCTTTGTTATTCTATGGTTTAAATTTTTTGCAAAGAAAAAATAAATCAGGAATTTTAACCACAAGTCAAAGTTGAATCTGTGTGTTGATCATTCTAAAAATTAAAAAACTATTAAATGTTATCTTTTTTTTAAGTTTAATTTTGAAGGTTTGGTTTTATTAGGCCTACCCGGTGTGGTGGGCTGCGGGATGGCCTGGTAGACGCTGGTGCTGAAGCTGCTGCTGATGGGAATGTGACTGGAGGAGTTATTGGCCTGTCGGCGCTGGTTCCGCAGCTTCTCCTCTCGCCTCCATTTTGCTCTTCTGTTTGAGAACCATACCTTTAATACAAAATTAGAAAACGGAAGGAAATGTATTATTTTTAATATACATATATAAATATTTACCATTCGGAGATTTCAGTAAATAATTTGTTCTGAAAGCTTTCAGTAGTGAATGAAAACAAAGCATAGGCCCAGACACTCACTTGTATTCTTGCTTCTGGCAGGTCGATTTTTGCCGCTAGTCTTTCCCGTGCAAAAACATCTGGATAATGCGTTCTTTCAAACTCTGCAATGAAGAGCAGAGTCAAGCACTAACGTGAGTAATTATTGCAAAGATGTATGGTTATTTTTTGCGATATTATTACAACACATTTCCATCCAAAGTGCAAAAAAGCTCCCTTTTTTTCTCCCCTCAGACTACTATTCCCTTATGATCGGGATTATTTTCCCTTTTATTGTTTTATACGATCGGATAAAATAACCGACTTGTTTTCGCACCTTTCTCCAGCGCCTCGATCTGCTCTTGCGTAAAAGACGTGCGGTTTCTCTGCAGCTTCCTCTTGAGCTGCAGGCGCATCTGCGTCTCCTCCGAATCCTCCCCGTTCGAGCTGATGGAGTTGGTGTTTTCTCCTGCGCCGTCCTGTTGTTGGCAGCCATCTGAGAGAAGATGAGAGGGGAGGGGAATCAACGTTAATGGAAATATACATTAATTGAATCCAATTGAATAATTAATGATGGTGTTGCATGAGTCTGCAGCTAATTGTACAGAACGCTGTGCTACATAATTAATTAAACCCCCTTTCCCCAACCATCATGGTTAATTTCATTGAAAATTGGAGGAATTATTGCAATTTTCTCCTAGTGTTGCGATTTTATTGAGGCCCTCCTCAGTAATCTAGGAACTGTGAGGAGAGTTAGTGTAAAAAAAAAAAAAATAAAAAAGTGTTTATAAAATATTGTGGGAAAAACAGGATAGCCCTGTGCACTTATCGCATCCCAACAATGAATGTGTTCTCAAAAGGTTAAGAGAAATGTGTCAAGATGTGGCCACCCTCTTTTCAGGGGCTATGAAATGTATTAAAACCCCAAACTCTGCAGTCCCCCCTCCCTCCCCACTTCATCCCCTCTGTTTTCTAGGACAGAGCATTGCTTCAATGGTCGCTCCCATATGGGCGTTGGTAAAGCCATTGAGGTGACCACCAACTTTTGAAAAGGAGAAGACGCTTTTCAGAATGATACAATGCCTCCAGGAGTAAGGGGGACCATTATACTATGGACACAGCCAGGGACGTGCACTCGGTGGGTGTAATATATGGAAGGAGGAGGTGGAGAGGGGTGACAAAAGGATCCCCTCTCTGTGGAGGCGCGCAGGCTATAGTGATCTGGCATTGTGCATATGAGGATCCCAGTCAACAGAGCTTTGAGTCCAGTGTGTTAACCCTTATCCACTACCATCATTAATCACGTCCCCCGGCCAGCTACACGCCAGTCAGGATTTCTGTCTTCAATTGGAAACAAATGAGTGAGGAGAGAGCATGCAACCCCCTGAACAACCCGAAATAGGGCCAATCTATTCACTGCCCCTGCTTGTCCGCGGTGGGCCCTAAAGGCCCCTTCAGTTGCAGGGCAAGGCTTATCGACTAATGTCTGTCTTGTTGTTGGACATCATTATCACACCGAGAAGTTAATGCGAAATTAAGCAGCGGGTGCGCCACTGGAGGAAGGTTTATGTAATATCTCAACGATGCGCATCCCTGGCGTAAAGTCATGCGTCTTTTTGCAGCCATGCTGGAACATTTGGATCCTGCAAACCCCGTCACATGAAACATGTTTCATTTTTGTAAATAATTCCAGATCATCTTGGAAAAGTTGAGGGTTTTTGAATGACTCTGATTATGTAAAAATGTCAGAGATAAATGCTGCATAATAAACAAGGTATTCATCTATGGTTTGCGTCCGCGCTATTTGGGTCTTCGCTCCGGATAATCCACCAAAAAAGAAGCGAATGTGCAGCTATTATTCGTCTGCCAGACCCACTGACGCTCGGATGGGATTTTGTTTTCTTTCTAAAAGCGCTGGGAAATAAACTCATTCTTTAGTATAGCGGTGTCTCAACCAGTCAGGCGGAAAAGCAGCCGCAGAAGAGGAAGAAAAAAAAAGGAGATACTGAACCAATTGCGGCACCTTTCAGCTGCTGAGACTGGATCAAAACACTCTTGAGAAACCGCTTAAAACTGAAAGAGAAAGTGAGAAACTAAATCCTATAGATGGGATTTAGAGCCATATACGCAGCGAAGGAGAAGGTGAAAAGGATGAAAGGGAGAGATCGGAGCGGAGGTTTTTATTCCTTAGTCTTTGGTATATAGAGCTGTCTTCTGTTTGGGGCCCCTGTCACTCTCCATGTAACCTTTTTATGTCTTTCGTCCGCTTGACTGATGGAGAACATATTTCAGATCCCCTGAGACAAGCTTATGAAATGCAAATAAATAATGACCATAACATGTATAATAATAATAATAATAATAATAATAATAATAAT